TTATTACTTTCCGTAAGTATTATCTATTCACGCATCAATTCACACATCATTGAATCTTCCTATTTTTTGTGTTATCTAGACTAGAGCGACTATCAGTGGAATCTTCCTCTTCTTATTGGACGCATAAATCCCTTCCATGCTTAGTTATTAGTTTCCGTAAGTATTTATCTATTTACGCACCAATTCACATGTCATTGAATCTTCCTATCTTTTGTGTTAATTATAGTGCTTTAATATTAACCGCTGAAGTTCGTTTGTCATTAGGAGTTAGTAAAGAAAGCACCGTGTCTACACATTTGTTTAACTTTTTTATGATACAAAATTCCAAGATTGGCATCACATTTATAGCGATGCTTCTAAATACAATAGCAATGTTAGAATTGGAATTTATCATTTTCAATACAATATTGTACAGAAAATAATCTTCCTCCTAAAATTTCTGTTTTCACTGGGGAATGTTCCGGGATATACAAATCCGTTGAGTATATTCTTTTGGCTAGACAAAAGAAATCCGTAATATTTTCGGATTCTATGAGTGCCCTTCAGGCGCATGTAAGGTATCCGTTTAGATTTAAACTTATCTCTCTGGTAATTATTGACACAAGAAAATTTTTACTTAAATGTACGTTGAAGGGATTTTCGGTGGGGTTCGCCTGGATTCCCGGTCACTCGGAAATATTGGGTAACGAACGCGCTGACTAGTTCGCCAGTGATGCTATTATCTGCATGGACATGGGTCATTACAAAAATTATAACCATGACCTGGTCACACTACCCAAGATCTTTCTCAGAAATAGTTGGAGTTTAACGTGGACTGAGGGTTCTCAGTCTAAAGGTAAATTTTATAGTAGTATTCAACCCTCTCTACCGGCAAAACCGTGGTTCCTTAACCTGAAATGAACAGAATGGCAAAAGCTTATTGGCTCCTCACGTTTATACACTCGTTCACGTTGCTAGATTCAGTATAGTCGTTGATGATTTATGTGAGTGCGGCGAACTTAGCGATTTGAATAATATCTTTTGACCTAGATTTGATCGTTCCTCTCTTATCCAAAATGTTACCCATTCCCATGTGGTTCTTCTGACTTCCCTCCGTCTTTTATTATTGTCCAATAACTCTTCGATATATATCTATCTAGATTTCTTTCAGAAAATAATATAAAAAATTAACTTTTGTAATTATACTATTTACTCTGTATTTAAACTAAACATTATAGATACCTTATAGTTTCTTGCCTGATCCCTTTTTCACTCTTTTTACACGTTTCTATTTCGTAAACCCGTTCCCTAATTTCATTACTATGATAAAATAAGTTTCCTTGTTTAGAACAAGTTTAGTTTAGTCAAAACAATTTGTAAGTGGCTGAATCGCTTATCGCGGAAAGCCAAGGAAGAAGAAAAAATAAAAATATTTTAACCAATCTTTTTTTACATAGACTTATGGCCCGGTTGTAAGACTTTTAGGCCAATTTAATCAACCAGTAGGTGGTACAGCGTCGTAATTGATATTTTAGTAAAAATACGTTATGTTTTTAAAGTCTTTATAGTTTGTGTTCAGTACTATAATACACATTACAGTACTATAATACTCATTATAGGCCTGTGTACAGAACTGTAATGAAATTTTTCAGCTCAGTGGCGAGTACCATAGACAATAGAATTTTGATTCAGAACTCAAAAGAGCGCTTAGTGATATGGTTTTTAAAATTATAATTGACGTTAAAATACAGGAGTAGAAAAAAAATTATATACCATTGATGTGCAATGGGCGTCCTGCAAAATATAAAATTTGTTTATTACGTTTTTGGAGTAGCAAGGATAGACACGTGTGCTAGGCGTTTAGATTTACCTGTAAATCTATAAATTACCACTTCAACAGTAAACGAGAACATTGTTGGTAAACCCAGGTGGCGGAGAAAGCCTTACAGACTCGTCGAAGACATATAAAGTCTCCTGCCTGCGTAATACGAAACGTATAGAACAGACTTGTCCTTAATGGAGAACCATGACTAGTACAGATTCACATGTGGGTCAGGTTCTAATAATTTATATTAGCAAACAAATCGGTGTAGGTACTTACTTCTTGGGCTAAGGATGTTAGAACGTAGATATAAAAAACCCACAAAGTATTAATATCGATGTTCATTTGCATTTGTTAGGGTGTTACTGCTTACAATCGGTTTCAAAACGTATTACACGATTTAATACGCAGACTGATAGCGTCTGTCAGTGTGAAATTCTACCTCATTCGAATACATACATATCTTCATTTGATTAGACGCCAATTACCAGAAATGATTTTACGTTCACTCAGAATGCACTCAGCATCTGCGCGCTGTACGCACGTTTATGCCGTCGGCATTGACTCACAAAAAAAAGCCATAGTAGCCTATTAGTTTGAGCTATCGCCTTTCAAGTAGATGCCGTGGGTTCGAATCCGGTCTCGCACCTCGTGAGTTTCTCGCAATTTATGTGCGAAATTTAATTTGAAATTTACTATGAGCTTTTCATTGAAGGAAAACATTGTGATGAAACTAGCACGTCGAAGAAGGGTCACAGCCCTCGCAAAACTTGTGAAGTCCCTAACGCAATGAGCCAGCTTGGCGGACTATGGCCTAAACCCTCGCCTGAGATGATACCCGTGACCAGTGGGATATAAAATAGTGATGACGATGGCTTATTTTCGTGTAAACGTAATATCATCGAGTATATAACAGGACATAGAGACGAAATAAGGGCCATATATTCCTGGTACCACATTAGCGATACAGTTCTTATAAATATCAACTCCCGTTTGCACTGAAATATAGACAGGCCAACTACTGACCTGTGCGTATGCTCCGCATATTCCAAAAAATATTCTGTAAAATATTCTGTATTTATTGTAATAAAGATAATATCTCTAACAATGCCGTGCCGTTCTATTAGGTGGTGTGGGAAATATAGCAAAACATCTAATTACAAAACAAACGGAATCACATTTCATCGGTAATTAAATACGTAATTTTGCAATTTTCGTCCATTATAGCAAAGCTCAAGTTAACTGGTTGATTTGAAGTGAAACAGTTGACGACACTCGTCAATTGTTTCGAACTCGGGCTAGCCAATCGGAGCGCTGTTGTCACAGTAATGATATAGTAGAACAGTTTTCCTGTCTATATTTCAGTGCAAACGGGATTTGATATTTATAAGAGCTATATCGCTAATGTGTTACCAGAAATATATGGCCCTTATTTCGTCTCTATTTCTGGTTATATACTCGATGCGTAATATTAAGAGGTTGTTAATAAAAATAATAGTTGTGATTAAGTGATTTTATTTTTCAGATACTTACTATGAGAATTAAAATTTGATCGTTTACGGATCTAGTGATATATATTACGTAATTTAAATTACGGACTTTGTTGTCGACTTTAAATTGATATAGGTACTTTTTCTTTTTGGTCAGTTAAGCCTAAAACAGAAATTTATAATAATTACAAACTACTTTCATAATTTAATTTAATATTATTTGTAGGCAGTCAATATAAAATGACTTTCCTTTTATTTACAATTTAATGCACAGATTTTAAAAAGCATGCCTAATATTTATTTACATTCAGCTTCGTGAACATTTAGCCCCTTTACATAGTTAACTAGTTGATCCCGCTTACAATACACAGCTCTTTTACCACCAGTCTACATAACTAATTCGTCATAAAAAATACATTTATTCTACACATTTAACACTACGTGCACAAGTAGAGACGCTAGAGAATTTTATCAGTTCTACAGAGATCAGAATAAATGACTCGTGTATCGACGAAGAAACCCGAAAGAATAGTTTTGGCATGATTGTATCCTTCTTAGGTCCATTTATTTCTGACCACGGAACTGAGTCGACGTCCCCACATTAGGTGGTATCATACAATAGTTCCTTGTAAGTGTTGAGGGTCGGGAGATGAAGCCACCGGTGGTGGAAGTGTGGGGCCCATTGAAGTTGACGGCAGTGCTGCAGCTACTTCTTGGTAACCATCAAGAGGCAAGCCTTGTCCAAGGATTCGATCTGTAGGATTCTCTTCAGGAGGTGTTACTTCTAATCCGATGCTACCATTGAGGGCTATTTTGATAGCGTTAGCATTCTGTTGTTGTTGTTGCTGCTGCTGTTGGTATTGTAGCAGGGAATTGAAATGTGATATGCCGATCTCTTCAAGGCTGCTCTTCCTCCGGCGAGAGCCAACGCCACTTAATCCTTGGCGAAGAGAATTAGACCGTCTTAATAGTATATCGTCGACAACTCTCAATGAGTTCGAACGACCCCTGAAGTCCGTAATTATAGTTGGACTATCCGGCAGGGACAGAGAGTTAGCTTTTGTGGTCGATAGTGGAGGCGCACGAGGTTGACTAAAACTTGCTCCAATTCCAGAGCCTCTACGACTTGCAACTCCTTGTGCTTGGATTAGTGCTTGAGAACAGAAACTGATGTTCGATTTCCTTCGGCTATTATGGCGTTCGAATGTTTTTTGTGCAGAAAATGGTGATGGACGGACCAAATATCTGCAAACGCAGTACAAACGGTGAGTCTCAATCTCTATTATACTTACTTATAACTTATTGTGCAGGTATTCAACACAAGTTGTACCGTTACTTACATAATATCACCTTCTTGCAGGTTCAAATCACAGCTAGGATTTATTATGACGTAAGATAAACTATTTCGTTTCTCACTAACGTCGTCGTAATCAATTCCAGTAAGATTCAATGATTCCATTCTTGATCGTACTAAATTAGCAATTTCAGCTCTCTCAATTTGTTGAGCGTGATTATCTCTTGCTTCGTCGGCCAAGCTTGTAGAGTACTGTGAAAGCAGTGGTATTCTCTTAAGACAAGCTACTACCTGCTTATAAAAGTAGACATTATATGTACAACATTAGTGTGAGGTGATTAGCATCAAAATATATCGGTTATGGTTTGTAAATGACGTAGGATAATTGCAAATGCAGGACAAATGTCATGATTCGAGAAAAAGTATGACGTTGAACTCGATTATATGTAGATATATTATTAAATGCAAAATAATTTAGATATAATTATGATTAATAATAGACACTATATCTATAATATTATGTTGCATTGAATATGACGATGGAGCAAATATTTAAAGATTTTTAGGATCCTAGGTCAGTTAATGTGAGCTGTGATTATTGCAGGTTATATATTGTTTAGAGATCACATTGGCTCTTTGGGTAGGAAAAATGTTTAGCTCTGTGTGACGTAAAATCGTATAAGCTCTCTTTTAACATATTTTTATTAATACTCAATATTTAATAATTTCGAGAGTCACAGTAAACCAAATTAATATTCTTTTATTTCTGATATGTAATTGATTGCAAAGTTACATAGCATCAATAAACATTTTTTCGTATTTTAATGTGATGCCACAATTTTGTTTTTTGCTATGGACACTAAAACTACCTTATTAACTTAGCTATAGCTTTATGGCCCGTCAAGATATGATTTACGAATACGTATAATTGGTATCCAATGGCAAATGTATAATAGACAGTCTTAAGGCGTGTCGCTTACAACCCGGCTCACGAGTTGTTCGTCCCGTCACTTATGTATATATAACTGCTAATTTACTTATTAGGGAATCACCACACTTATCAACACGGAATCGCATCAAGCCGGAGCGAAAATGACGTTGCACTTTTCGCGCCGGATATTCAAGCGGATTACGTGCGAATAAATGTGGTGAGTCCCTTGATAGTTTGAATATGCTTGTTACTGGTATCCAAGCACGCTTTTTAATGAGCATTGTATACCTTTAGTTTTGCTCGCAGCAATGTCATTTGACTAAAAACAATCTGCCCTTTGACTAAAATTAATTTACATATTTAAATGAATTTGAAGTGTAGTCTACAATTTTACATTTTACGTAATTACGCAAAAACAGTTAAATCATTTGAGTAAACGATAAAATATGTTGTCTTTATAATTATATATATATAATATATTTTTCCTCAGCAATTTTTTATGCCATATTTATGCTATTGAAGGATATATCGTCTCCAGGAAATCATAATAATTAATCCTGTTATTGCAACTATCCTACAGCATGGACAAGTAGTGTTAGCATGCTATTTTGCTTTTGCTTTTGGTAGGCAGAAATCTGTAACTTGTGTAATAAAATTGATTATGCGCATTTGTGGTAAAATGCCTACATGAAATGTGTCAGAAAATTATTGAAGCTAGTTACATTTTGTTGATAAGTTGTGTATTCAAGTATTTCTGGTACGATTTTTATATTCTAGATAAGTTATGGTCGTATGGTACTATTGCTAAAAGCGGAGTTTTATAAAAGTGAAATTCGCAAAAGGTTATGGCTTCAACTAATTTAGTTATCTAAGGTAGACTACTAGACTAGATGGTAGAAATAATTAGCTTTCAAGACTTCTAAATAATTTTCACAGACATAGACTGTGTACGTAAGTTCATGCTAGTGATAAGTACATAGCGATTATGTATGCTCATTCACATTATCTTCGTTTTTGTTATCGATCATGTCGGGCTCTGAAAATTTAGTCTCTGTTCTCATTTGCGTTTTCTTGGTTGCCACATCAAAGCAGGAGCATAGTAGGTCCTTTCACATGAAATTAGTTGTTGACGACTAATGTAATTACAAATCAGTTTTGCATTTCTCTAAAATTTATAATGCGTTTTTGCATTTCTGTATTTACTGTTTTTTTTGTTTAAATATTTATAAAATAATATTTCTTCAATATTTTTAGTGATTTTTTTTAGACAGTGTGACTGGTAATTTTTTTTAATTACAGATTTATAAGTGAGCATTTGATAATTGGTGACAGCTCTTTAAACGTAGTTAGTCGCCAACTACTAGAAGATCCATGTGAAAGGTCTCCGGTAGTGACCTTACCGCCGGCGTACGTTCTCCATAGCAGCTGCCGAGGCAGCTGGTGGCCTCCCGGCGCCCGCACGCCGGGAAGCCTCCACCCTCACACTCGTCCTGCTGCTGCAACTGTCTTGTCAGTTTGTCCCTACTGATCTCCTATAGTACTCTACAGTACAGTATACACCGGCGACAGTTCATACTACTGTTGGCTGGTAACCCTTTATTTAACTTTTCTCACTGTATATTTCAAATGTATATCGCAGTATTGCTATTTTTAGCATGCAGTAAGCGGAAGCGAGGACCCAAATCTAGTGCGTTTTCTTAACCCGTCACTGCAAGAAAGTTACAGACAGAACTGAGCTTGAAAGTATTGGTTTCCTTCCATGCAGTGAGATTGTTTTCTAATTGTTATCTAGTTATATTTTATTTGAATTGTTTTTCATTTTTTCGTGGTACTACGGTGTAATTAGTAACGCTAAGTTTTTCTATAACGACACATGCAATACACACACTACAAAGACTACACCGAGGCGGGATTGCGATCATCGAGTTGAGAACGTTAAAGTTACAGACGGTCCCCTTTTACTTTGCACTCAAAGCCTTTATTTTTTCTTTTTTTTTAGTCATCGAATTTGTAGTTCTTGAAAAATAAATATTGGTCATTTCTTTGTGTCCACGCAAAAGCAGAAATTAGATCAATGTTTCTGGCTACAGCAGGTTGCGTAAATTATAAAATTAAAGCACGTGTATTTTATAAGACATAACCAAGTTTCGCGTGAAAAGTAGAAATTCAGAAATGCTACTAATTACAGATACACCACAAGTGTAGGCGCAAGATGTAAACAAGTTGTAATAATGGAAAAAGTGTGACGCTGACTCGAGGTATACTTAGATAAAAAATTTATAATTTTAACCCGAAATACAGTCCAAAGACGCGGACTACTTATAATAAAGAATTATTGTGAAATCCGGTTAGCACTGACATTGTAAATGTGTAAGTAGCGTTTAGCGACAGACAGTATTATAGGACTGTATTTAAGGAGAGATATTGAGAAATATCATCCGACTCACCGATGCACGCGATGGTCGCATTCTCGCGAAGCGTGACCAAAACCATTTTGATGAAGTCCGTGGCAACATACTCACGTGGTGAGAGGGATCGGCTAAACTCGTGTCCTGTGTGCGATAGATCCCTATAGGGATCTCGCAAGTAGTTGAACACAACTTTTGGTACAGCCGACCATATGTGCGAATCCACATGTCTTCTTTTGTTATTTTCATCTGTCAGAAGTTCAACATACGTCGTTAGAATCTGAGTTTAAATGCTTCTTTCATGATCATACGCAACACTTAAATAAAAAATTTCGCCAACACAGTAAGTAAAAGATATTTACGCATCGCTTACCGATATGATGATGACATGAGTGTGATCATAAAACAACAACATTCGCAGAATTCGCAAAACAAGCTGCACTTTAGCTACGATAAAATTCATTCGCTAATAATTTACACGAGTTGTAACAAGTAACTTACAGAAGTTAGAAAACCAGATCCGGGTGCTTGATCAACCCCTAGCAGCAATCGGACAAATGTAATCACGTAGTCTTTCACAAAAGCCTGGTACAATAGCGTGTCCAACATGGATGCGGAGAATACTGATCCCGCCGCGAACGGCAAGCGAAACATGTATGAAATGTGAGAACCGCGCTCTTTTTCTCGCTGGAAATAAACACAAGTATTTATATATATTTTCCGTGCAAATCACGCAATCATTAATGTTACGTATTATGTACGCTACTCAACTTTTTCCATTTTCGAGAGGTGCAGCGCGTATTTGTCATGAGCCCTAAATTGCATGAACCGCATATTTGAGGATTGCGATAGTTCGGTTATAGATTTGATTGATGGAAAAAATCTGAAAGAAGAAACAGAATTCTATACTATCTATGTACTTATTACCAACTTCAAAATATCGTGGATATGCGCGTCACACTTAAATGTAGAGGTACGTCTACCAACAAAATAGTATTCTGATGGTGTTAATTAAGCCTTTAGCTTACATAACACCTTTAGATGTAATAAATTTATTCAGCTAAATTAACATCTGGTTCGCAATAGCAAATGGATTACACCAAAGTACTTTCGCTTCGTATAATGTTCGCGTAGAAAGTACGTAGAAAGTGTTCATAATTTGTAAAAAAAGTAAACATTTTAAATGAACTTTCTGGATACTACAATAACAGTTTACTTGAACATGGTCTGCACGGCAACTATCGTGTTGCAATCAGCGAGGCTGTCCTCTTCTGCGGAATTCGATAACTCTTTATTCACCACAACTACATTTTCTGCCAAGGTAATTCCAGCCCTCAATAAATCATCTAAACTGAAATGTATAAATTAAAATATTGTTATTACATATTTTTAATGGCATTCAAAATCATTATGTTTGATACTCACCAGTCGATTGAACCGAGCATCCAGTACACCAATGGAAAATAGGATATAGCATTTTTAGATGCTATATCATGTCTTCTTTCCAGAAGTAAGATAATCGGATTTAAAGATGTTTTGGATCTAAAATGGGCTCTTAGCGGTATAATAAAATTGTAAATTCCATTGGAGGCATAATCAGCGGCGAGGATGATGGTTTTGTTTTGCCATTGATATTCTTTAGCGTTTCTATAAGCGCAATGCTCGCACACCTGCGCCAGTTGTAAGCAGCACAGTGGTTTCTTTTCTTTCAGTAAGTAACATAGCGTCGGGCTAACTCCAATGAAAGGTGATACGGGTGGAAATCCCTTCACAATCCTGCAACGACTCAAGGGATTATGTTTTGTTTATAAAGGTAAGAAATAATGAGAAGTTTTCTTATGACCGCTCGAGATTTATTAGACGGCTCTACACAAATTCATAAAATAATTTATTCGATTTTTGACGTAAAATAAACACGCGCTTGGCTACAATTCCCACTTGATTTTAAGTGATGATGTAATCGACAACGGCACCCGTTTTACTAAAAAATGCCTCTCCAACATTAGCCTTGAATTGTGCTAAATTGTAGTAAGGTGTAATGTACAATCAAGAGACGGTTTTCGTCTGACTGTAATAAAAACATTCGCTGAATTCGCATAAAAATACTGAATTTCAGGTAAGTATTGTAATATGAATTCACCTTCGTTACATTCAGTTATTAAACCGAATCTAACGAAAAGTACCGTTGTGTCATTCGTCACATCGAGTATATAACCGGAAATAGAGACGAAATAAGTGCCATATATTCCTAGTAACATATTAGCGATACAGCTCTTATAAATATCAACTCTCGTTTGCACTGAAATACAGACAGATCAACTACTGACCTGCGTGTACGTCTCCGTATATTCCAAGAAATATTCTGTATTTATTGTAATAACGGTAATATCTCTAACAATGCCGTGGTGGTGTGGGAAAAACAGCAAAATATCTAATTACAAAATAAAAGGAATCACATTTCATCGGTAATTAAATATTAAATATGTAATTTTGCAATTTTTGTCCATTATAGCAAAGCTCAAGTTAACTGGTCGTGTTGAAGTGAAACAGTTAACGATATCCGTCAATTGTTTCGAACTCGGGCTAGCCAATCGGAGCGCAGTAGTCACAGTAATGATATGGCAGAATAGTTTTGAAACAAATTAAATGACATTTCGTCTCTATTTCTATATACTCGATGTTTCGTCATTTCAGTGTTAAAATAATGAGTCTGTCAAACTAATTTATGTGAATAACAAATTTGTCACATGGAAGAGAATGTAACCATTAGGCTGTCGTATTGTCTCGTTTAAGTGTGAGGCCAGACGAGCGTAATTTTCTGAGTTGTGAGTCGCGTAGTGTGAGTTGCGTAGTTTGCGCTGCATTCGGTTTCATATAAAAGTACGGTTTGGTTCAAATGGCGACGTAAAATGAGTTATCTGCCGACTCACAGGCGTAATGATGACTTACTTTCGGTCGCGTCGTGGGACGGGCTGGCGCGGGTGGAGGTAAGAGTGAGGGAAGGGGGTCACTTTGGTATAGGATACGCGTACGGAGACTAAAATGGAAGGTACGGAGATTAAAAATATTAATAATTGAACAACTTAGTTGATTGTTATTATTAGTCTTTCCTCTGGACTGATGGCTTGTCTCATATTTGTATGTCACTTAGGAATAAAAGGTTTTACTAGGCTTAATGATTCTTGAAAAACATTTATTGTCATGTGGTAGTACTTAACAAATTGATCTGGATGTTCCCATAAACTTGTATATAATATATGAAACTGCCCTTTTTTTAATCGTTCCATATTGAGTGATGTACCCAGCTTCTTTTTCTAACATCGTCTAATGCTTCATAAATGTATACTATTTTAATGGATCCATTACTCTACTACGACACAAGGACCCCGTATAAACGCTTAAAAGCAACTGAATAAAATACGTTCGTCAGACGCTCCAACAGAATTTCGGTCGAACGCAAACTGCGCAACTCAAAAAACGCAACTCACAACTCACAAAATTACGCTCGTCTGGCCTCACCCTTAATACAACTTCTCGTGCGACTTCCCGGTCTTTGCAGTCTCCGACTTCTCGTTACATGTCTCAGAGTGGGCTAGTGTCTATCGTGATTTCTGACGATAACAATAACAGTTTGATACCTGTCATGTTTTTTCGAAGTTTCTCGGTTTTGTTATTTTGACTATTGCACGTAAATAGGGTTTTCATTGCGAGAATGCTTAGGTATCTTTAACTAAATCATATTATAAAGATTCTTTTTTTTTTTTCAAATAAAATAGACCTTTTAGGGGGTCGACAATACCAATGATACAAATAAAGATGAAGGTAGGCATCGGCTAAAATAATAATGATGTTGAGAATGTCCCGTAAGTAGCAGGTAATATTCCGGGGATGACAGTTCATAAGCAACTTAACAACAAACCTTTTTCCCATATTTTTTTTATACAGAAATTTGAAATATTTCTATAACTGGTGAAAGTACTTCCTGAAAATGAAGATTTTGCCCTAATTTGTCACAATTCAATGCTATCTACCACTCCCTGCACAAGCTTCTTTAGCCCAAAGTATCCTTAATCATTACCTACATATGTTATATATAACAATATTGTCGATTGTATATCGTTTTGATAGTATTTTTATAATATAAGCTTGTGAGTATACCTAATTAGTGAAAAAAAAATATCCTAAATTGCTACATAGGACGTACGCCGTCTACTGAATACTTAGTGCAAATTTTAAACGATTTAAATGAATTTTATTTTCTAAGAAAACTTCTTATTATTTATAGGTGTTCATTCAATAATTTACAATGAAACAGGCCAAAGCAAAGCTTAATTTGAAAAAGGATTCAAAATTTAATTAAAGAGATAAAAATAAGAATAGTTAAAAAAGATTGTTAATTCAAAAGTCCAAAACAGGTCCAATCTTATAAGAGGGTTATGGACATTGCACAGGTATTTTACGTACATGTGGACATTCATTCAATATGTTACGAAAAGACAAACAATAGTTCTGGGGTAATGTGTGTTTAATATTCTAACATTCAACATCAATCTGACTAACTTCACATGCTTAACTATGTATAAGGACATGTGCAAAGATAAATCTTCAGTTACAGAAAATAGCAGGTAAGTTACACAGGGACTATAATAATTGCGCATTTAAGGCCATTACGTTACCTTTTTAAGTAGTAACTCCAATGATTAGGTATTGGTAGTTTTAGGGTCAGGTCACAACTCATAACACAACTTAACACGTGACGCTTCGCGATTATATAAAGCAAAACGTTTTAAATTTTACTGTATCTGTTTAACAACTTTTCCACAATCCTCACAAATCCAGAATGTTAACTGTGTGACAATTTATTATCCAAATAACCGTACTCCACCGACACTTGATCCTTCCACTTGATTTAAAAATACCACTCGGGCGGTCTTAATCACGCTGTAGGCTCCAACACAAGTTGTGTTATGTGTTGTGGTGAATGTAAAATCACAATTTCCATTAGGCTCTTTACAAAAACAACCAACCGATGGATGTATTGTTTCTGGTATTGTTTTATTATATATATTTTATTGGCTATATATATACATATATATATATATAATGATGTTTGCAAGGAATTTTTTCAACCTTTATATAAAACAGATAGATTGGTTGTTTCTATTTATGCAAAAGCATTTAATGCTGTCTCAATATTGGGATTATAATCCTTTAAACTTTTATTTATATTCTGAGTACGCTTGATGTCGTTTCCGGAACCATCGGCATTTAGGACAGTGTTTTATAAATACTGGGAATAAAAGGAAGAATACAATAAATTAATTTATTTAATACTATCGATGTTACAATATTATAATTATGTAAAATTCTGTGTTAAGTAACAAGATGATTGTCACTAAAAGAAACCATGCCTAATTTGATTATTAGTGCACGTTGTTGGAGAACAAACACACTATCGACTTATTTCTATTAACCCACACTGCGATAGCGTCGGCGTCGGCCACCAACGGGTGAAAGTATAGTACGTTTGCCTCAATATCGCAATGGAACAAGAGGACGTAGTTTCCGTAGTGCTTGTAGCACTACCGAGTCTTCCTTATAGAACTCACTTGCTTTCTAGTGCAAATTCGAGCAAATTTTGTGAGCTAAGAATTAGCATATTTTGCATAATTGAACTGGATGGTAATAGTTAGCAATTTGATTACTGCAAGTTTCATCAGATGTTAAGGAATACAAAGTCAAACACTCAAATTTAAGGCTTTATTAAAGTTGGTATAATTAAATTATGACCCAAGTATAATTTTTGTAAACAAAATATGAAGAAACATTTTCACTTGGATAAGTAGCAAATTTGGCGGACCTTCCCATTCGATTTCAATTTCATGTACTTATTAATATTTGTTCGAAAGTGGTGATGTGTATATACGCTTACCTGGAGAAATCATTTCGCCAAGCACTGTGTGTGATCTCGCTGGCTGCCAGAGACGAGAAGCTGCTGGTGGTGAAGTCATCTCTGGAGCCACAGGGGACAGGCCGTGCGATGGGATAATACGCTCAAGGGTTTACAGGTACACAATGCATACATTGCTCATGAAAATTTTGCAAGAAGCATCCGTCTCTTTTCTTTAACGTAAGACACGCACATATAAGTTCTTATTTCGAAAGTGGACGTCGACTGTATATATGAATTGTGTAAAATTATTAAGGTGCGTTCATTGTTTTCTTATATACTTATTGTAAAACATAACATTTAAAAAGTAAGTAAGACAACAATGATATTTCAAGGAGGTTGAGCAGGTACATAAAGTTGCAGATAGTTAATTTTGAATTGGTTAAGTAGAAACGTTCCCCGCATGGCTTTGTGCCCAAAGATCTCAACATTTGTTTGGTTTGGTTTAAAGACAAGAATATCTGCTTATCTGCTTTTCCGCCTTTACAATATTGTAATTTGCTATACCTATATAGGATATGAAAGCAAAGTGATATATTTTTAAGCATAACACTGACAGGTGTGTAGCGATAGGTAAAAAAACATGACGTACGTATGGTGCGGTACTCATGCAGCTTTTGTGATCCTGGACAGCTAATCTATAGAAGTGAATGTAAATAATTAAAATTGAAGACGCTAGTCTAAAAAACATAATTAAGATCATACCGTTATGTTGACAATTGAAAATACTCGATGAGTTTTAAAGTTTCAATAAAAATAAAAAGCGCTGATGCAGCGTCTAGTAGAAGTTGATATGTGTTGCCTTGCCAAATTTAAAGGTTGCAGCTAGGTTTCCGTTGTAAGTGGGCCTTTCCATCAAATGTTCTTGTATTTTTTTTTGTGATATCCATAATCCGACGTACCTTTTTTTATTATTATTAATACAAAAAAAATCATTCGATCCAACGTCTTTTAGTAAACCGTGTTAGGCACTATGCCAATTAAGCCACGGAACAAATCAGCTGACCTTACGAATTTTTCTATGTGCTTGTGTTTTGGTTTTTATCTATTTTTTTGCCGTAGCGCCATCTATGATAAATCTATTTCTTCACTCAAGGTATCTTTACAACTACCAACAGCTGACTAGAGATGTCGCTTTAATAATTATAATTAAGTTTATGACGAAATACTTTCATAGATTTCTCACAGATGGCGTTACAGCTAAAAAGTCGTTTGAAAAACCAAAAACAAAGATACGACAACAAGCAGATAGAGAAATTCGTGAGGTCCGGTGGTTCGTTCCGTGGGTTGGTTGGCGTAGCGTCTGGCACGGTTTGCTAGAAAGCGTCGGTTCGAATCGAAGGAATTTTTTCTAAGTGTTCGGTCTTTGTATTAATAATTATAACAAACTAGTGGAGTAATTTCACAAAATATAATTGAATATCAATACAATAAAAGTCGAATTGAACGTCAGGATGTTTTACAACCATGATATGCAATTATTTTTTGTGAAATTACTCGTGTACGAGGCAAACGAGCAAACTTGATCAGAGGCGATCGTCGTCCACTAACATTTGCAACATCAGGTGTGTGCAATCATCAGGCGGGTGCCATGGACACACACATAAATTACACCTAAACTCACGAGGGTAATGTTTTAAATGTATTGTTATTAAATCTTTCTGTCATTACCAATTGAATAACTGTATTGTATTCGTTATTTCAACAACACAATTTTTTCACGGAAAAGGCCGCTGAAATTGTGGCATTGCAACAAAGTTTATACATTTAAATGTGACAATCAACGGTTTTTCGTACAGAAGGTTTATGGATTATTTTTAAGATTATCAACTAGTTTTTACTTTTCTATAGAAATAAATCTAAAAGATTTGCGTTAAATATTTTAGTTTGTAAGTAACCTGTACATAACTGCAGTTTGTGTCTGTCAGTGTACTTTTCAAAATGAATTTTCTAAATAGTATTTTATTAAAAAATTTTTGTTAGAAAGTGCTTTATAACTAAAATTTGTTAAAACTTTGAAGGTAATAGTCATTCATTTATCAATCCGATAAATACCCATCATCACCATTGTCCATGAGTTCAGTCCGATGCAACTCATATACCGTTTGTAGAATTAAAAAAATTTCTTTTGTGAGACGTGTTCTTTGACGCCACAGACTTCATTAAAAAGTCAACAAAAAAGTTCCTGTACTACACAATAATTGCAAAAAAAGTGATTGAATTTAATGTTTTTCAATTGAAATAAATATTTGATGGCAAGGCAGACAGACATTGCAAAACCGGCAACAGTCTTTGGATATCTATGAACTTTGATAATAAAACAAAACAAAATTGGATGTACAAATATAAAAGAGCGTGCAGATGGATGCAGTTGAAGCGAATTATGATGCAATGTGCTTACGCTATTTTCTCAGAAGGAGATCTCCAAGGCACATCATCTTCAAGCTCATCCTCACTTTCGTCTCCTTCACCTTCTTCGTCTTGATTGTCAGAGGCTATATTTAAACTGCTAGTTACCATATCAGGAACTGGTAATATAGACGGTCTTCTGCTGCCTAGGTTTGTAAAATGAAGCAATTTATTAGTCCCTTCGATCTACTTAGCAGATTACATTAAATTAATACACATTAAATTAATACACAGTACATTGAATTAATCTAGTATTTACTTAAAATTTGACCGCATATATACAGGATGTAATTGTTAAGCGTGCCCAGTTGATTATTCCATAAATATGAGCTCAAAAACCTTTAAACTGATATCGAAGGTGCCCAATGAGTAAAACGACGCCAACAACTTTTTGAAAATTAAACTAGAAATATTCAAAATTGTAACGTTAACGCTACCATGCATTTAATAATAGGGGTTAAAGTATGAAATTGTCTCGTTCTTTAAGTCGAAATTTCCATCACGAAATCGTTTAAACCAAAATCGCACGGTGCGTTCATTAGTAGACCCCTCTCCAAACGCAGCATTGATATTGCGGGCTGTTTCTGCCGCGTTAGTTCCGCGTCGGAACTCGTATTCAAAAATCACTCGAATTTTCGCAGTTTCCATCTTTCTTGTCTAAATTGAATAACAAAAACAATTGAAAGTCGATATTCAAATGTTTCATATTTAAAAAAAAATCACAGAAACCATTTGAAAAAAGTTTCATTCGAAAACCTCAAACCATGAAGATTCTATGAAAATTCAAAGAACCTATTGCAATAAAACGGCAATTTCATACTTTAACCCCTAATATGACACTTGTAGAGAGAAGCTTTAGTTGACCTATTTTAAGAGGTAACGATCAGTTTACAGATAACAAAACTGCCAAAAATAAAGTAATAAAACTAACTATGTTTAATTCATAGGTTCCCAAGCTTTTTGTCTCACCGCCCGCTTAGACATGATAAAAAATTTTAAACGCCCACCACCACCACAACAATTGAAAACACGTGTTTTTTTATAATAAATTAACACAAAAAAAATCACAAGGAAAAAAATTATGTAAATATATATATATATAGTTTAGTTTATATACATAATTAAGTTTTTTCAAAAGCGGCAGCATCAACGCCCACCAATGGCTTCCGAGGTTCTACCACCTTAGGACTGTTCAGCCCCACAAAGTGATGTTTTGTATAAGTAAGTACAAAATATTGTATTCAAAGCAGTTATTCGAAACTAAAGTCTACGAATGTTATTGATGTCGTTTTACTCATTAGGTAACGTACTTTCGATATCAATTTAAAAGTTTTTGATATCTCTTATCCTTATGGAATAATCGCCTGGCCACACTTAACGATTACACCCTGTACTATAGATGCATAATTATTTTCGTTATATTTTGAAGGAAGTGTTTATCTTGGGTAAATCAAGTAGGTCCTTTAATACAAATACAAAGTCATCAATAGTTTCGTTACCTCGGCGATAGTTAATGGCATCAGGACTCAAAAAGTTTGTGTTGTCTGGTTTTGGCAGAAGTAAGTGACTATCGGTGACACTGTCTGTACCCGGCGAGTCCTTCAAGCACGTGCGTGAATCTGACGTTGATGCAACCTCACCATATTTACCTGCATGGAAAATAGTTTACACACATGTTAGGATTAAGTTACTAAACCAAAATAATTTGTATTATTAACAGCTTCATTGGTATCCGACTTGCATGTTGGTATTGCGTAATTAGATGGCATTCTGCGACAGCTGTAAAAACAGTATATTTCGGTTTTGGTTACAGGAAGTGACCTCTTTGAGGCCACAGGAAGTGACCTCTTTGAGGCCACAGAAGGCAAATATGCTCTGTTACGCGGCCATTATAAATATTATTGAGACCCTTTCCGAGAAGAACATACCTGTCACCCACCTCGGGGTAATCGCCTGGTACGCAAACTTTTCAATGTGACGTTATTTAATTCTGTTTTGGTCAAAACTGACTTTCTTTAGGTGTACTTGGTGAGATCACATTGTTTTAGAAGAATCTAACAGTATTTTTGTGAAGTTTGTTAGAATATATTATTAAGAATTGCAGATCAATACTTAATTTTACAATACAAAGTTCAATAAGGCATAGCAGTTTGAGATAAACTGTTAACTAACATCTAATAACAAAAAAAATAGTTTGGCGTGTAAGGTTATCAGTTAAAGTCTCTATCACACTTTTTACTGTTAGAACTCAATTAGTTAAATAAATACCAAAAAAATGCCATACATTCTATTTAAAACATATTATTTAAAGGAAATGATTTCGTTGATGCTTTGCTGATACGTATGTAGACAGGTAGTAGTAATTTTTTGTTGACTACTATTAATTCAGTTTCAATAACATTTGGCTTTCCATTTCATTATATTATCATCTTTTAAAATGTAATTGTCTTCAGAAGATCACGTCTCTTTCGCCCCAAACTCGCAATCGGTATAAGCACACTCTGGGGCAAACCGGTTTTTTTGTACACTTTGGTTTATTTGCTTACTATTTTATTTGCAAATTTATGTGGAATTCATTTGAACGTATTAAAACCTTTTCGGACTGTTGGTTCCACCCTTAGTTCTACTAGTGTAAGTATTTTGAAGTACTCGTATCTCCATTGCATAAAACTACATAAGATACTACACAAATATTAACATGAGGATAGGAACCAATATCTACCGTTCGCTCCTGTTATAATCCGCCTCTAGATAAGGTCCGCTAGGAACTGACTCGTCAATTATATTTATTCTTTAGTATTAATTTCTTTGCCTTCGTATTTAGCCAATGAACGGGTTGGGAAAGCAGAATTACAGATTATGGAAGAGAAACAGAATTTGGATGAAAAAGATACGGTAGGTTGGGTTGGTGGGTAGCTATTATATATCGGCACACATATTAAAGCTTGATATTATTATTTTCGATAAATAAGGCCAGTACATTATAAACATCTTTGTTGCATAAATATAATAAACTTGTTATGGAGGTGGGGAGTGGAACACTAATTGTCAGGAGTTCGGATATGAAAGTATCGTGGTCAATTGAGAGGCAGAAGAAGAAGATATTGTTTAAAACCCCATAGGCCCCGCATGCGCATGCAGGGTCAGGGACAATTTTGAATTTGAACAGGTGCGCTGAAGTTGTCACGGGACCAAGTCGTAGTCTACAAATAGTGGAGGTAGTTTTTTGTCGAATTGCATCTTGCTGAACCATGGCTTGCGAGGGACAAACTCTTGAATCAAGCGGTAGTGCTTCTCTTTGGAGGTATCTGTCATCCAGGTTCTATTCCATGCCTCGAGTAGATATACCGTTATGTGTAACGAATACGTTATAAGATGACACTTGTCAATATAAACATTGAAGGATTATATAATTTTTAAATATAGTTGGACATTGAAACATCGAATTTTCAATGTTTTTAAGTACTTATTAAATGTACTTTCACGCATAGTGGAGTTGAGGTCTCTTCACGTTTGGATTCCACTTTCTGTTTAATATCAGGTAGAGTGCAGCCATATATTTTTGTATAATTGTAATAAGGGCATTGTTTTGCATATTCGTGTAAAGATTCAACAATTTTTCACAGGCGGGTCGACGGTCACCGATGTGTAACCGTAAGAATTTCATTGCATGCCGATTATTTTTAGGTATGAACATAAAATGAGCTTGGTTGTAAGTAGAATATGCCAATGTCGTGATATCAGCAACAAATCAAAACGTGACAAAACTAATTTGCATAACATTGAAATACAAATTCCTGAACTCCACAAACGATTAATCTAAGACACACTGAACCTAGAACACAAATAACGACACTTAATGATGAATCACACTTGGCACGTTGCTGTTTTCTCTGTTTTTGGCAAATGTAGTTTACAGTTGGTAAGACTGACAGGCAATTTTTTTTTTTTTTTTGTAAAATGTTGCTTCGTTCACGTGACTAGGCGATGTACAGTGAAGTTATTACGTGCAAAACAAAAAAAAATACAATGCACCAAGTATTCAGTTGTATGAAACGCTTTCCAACATTTCCCAGTCATTTTTTAGGTATTGTTTACTTTGTTTCATACATAACAGAGCATGCATAAAAATGATGATATTGTTTAATAATTTTGAATGTGAATCGGAGCCAAATTAAATTTTTGCGAATGGATCAAACCGACATAAAGCATACTCACCAAAGTTGTCTGCGATGATCAATTTAGTTGTCATTTAGTAAAATTGTGTTGAGATAACTACTCATCATCAATCATCATTCTTCCCATTTCCGACTAAATTGTGACATTATAATTGAACTTTTAAAATGTTACAACATCAACAGTTGAATGTGTACAGTTGCTCCCTGTCTCATTGATTGCACAATTTATGCATAAAAAAATGTTTCCTTAGTAATTTAAAATATAGTCACTTCGATAAAATGTTATTGAAATCCAAATTGGAGACGAGGAACAATTTAAGCAAGTATATTCAAGTGAACCGAATGCATGCCATTTTGTACACAATAAAAGAAATACATGTATTCGATTAACTTTGAGCATTTATTCAACTGTGACACTCACAGCTAGCAACAGTGAAATTAGCGGATGGAACAGTATTAGCTTGTTTGATGCGTGATGGCGATGCGTTTGGTGTGGTACTCGCGGGAGCTTGGAGAATCACTTGTGGAAGTTCGTACTGAGCGACGTTACTACCGTCTGGTTTCTTCTGCTGGCCTGATCCTTCCTCAGCATCTCCCGATTTCTTCTCCGTAGATAGAAGACTACACGCAGTTTGGTCTTTTGGTATTGTTGGTTTGGGTTCCGTTTGTTTTTCAGATACCACAAAAGCAGAATTCTCTTCTTTTGTAATGCTCATATAGTAACAAGTGTCACTACTTTTCATAATATGGCGCGGTCCCGGGTTTAGTAATATAGTTTCTTCATAAAATTCTGGAAGTTCTGCTGGACGCACACCAACTAAGGCCACACCGTACCTTACAGAAACGTAAATAATTTAATATAGATGCAAACTCATAATTAGCTTATTGTTAATTTAATACGTAACATTATTTTACTAACTTTCTATGGGAATGAAAACTTGCGTAAGTAAAACTTTTGCCTTCATATTCCCCAAAGAATCTGCTGTCGCCAAGAACAATGTGATAAATTTCATTTCCTGAACATTTCCCGTATAAGCGATGCCATTCTTCGGGAGATTGTTGCCCTTCTCTGTAAGAATATATAGGATAGTGACGTTTTGTGATTTTTATAATTGTTTTAAACATTTATTTGTACTTTTTATTAACAGTTTGTGTTGTGGCAGAAGAAAGCTTTTTGCGATTTTGATCAAACCAGTAGTTCAAAGAAAATCTTTGTTAAAATTTGACTACGTAATATTTTTTTAATGCACTGTACTGACTGTCCTCTGCTGGTGTGCAGTAAAAGCGTGACGAGAGTAGAAGCGCCCGGGCAAGTGCAGTTATTGGCTAACAGCGCGTATTTGAATTCATCTTCACAAACGACGAACTCTGCGAACTTAACGTGCAATTTATTCTCCGGTCGAAATATTTGAACATATTGTGGTACATCAGGTGCAAAGTCTTTCACGGCCCAAGACCTGAAAAGGAAACCAATATATAATGCAGAGAACAAGCAATTGCTGAACGCCATTAGTTTAAAACCCGACCCGATTTGTGATACGTATCAAGTAATTTTTACAACCCTCAAGGCATAAACTACTTTATATTATGTAGAGAGTGCTTTCCTCAAAGAATTCGAGAAAACAAAAGTACAAAATCATATTTTGTTTTAGAATCTACATGCTAAAAGAATATGTGATTATGCAATAATCAAAGAAATAAAACTAAAGAGGTCGTGTAACAAATATCGTTCAGTACGCTCGCTGCTCCAGTGTATAAACACGATAACAACATTACTGTCGCATCGCTATTTCTATTATTGAAAACACACAATAACAAGAAAATGTGAGAGAAGCTAAATGTCTGTGAGTATAGTCTATTGGGCAGGCCGTATAGGATAATTTTTTATTGTCTAGAAATCCCAAAACAATGAACTTACAACACGACGTTGCTAACAAACTGATAATTCTACAAAGTCTCGAATATTCCCAAGTTTATACTTCCTATATAAATCGACGTACAGTTTGTAAGGGATGTCGAAAGAATTTTTCGAGTTTTCGAATTAAAACAAAAAACATTATTATTTTATCTGAATAATAGAGGAATAAAAATAAACTAGCTATTGTTGACAGTCGTCTTCATACAGTCACAAATTCATTTGGGGCAATGTATAAGATTCTATAATAAGATTCCGGTTGATATTCAAAATTACTATTTCATCATCATCATCATATCAGCCGGAAGACGTTCACTGTTGAACGTAGGCCTCCCCCAAAGATTTCCAGACCAGCCGATTGGACGCGACGTGCATCCACCGGTTACCCGTCGTCCTTACGAGGTCATCCATCCATCTAGTAGGGGCCGTCCCACTGAACGCCTTCCGGTTCGTGGTCTCCATTCGAGAACCTTTCTGCCCCAACGCCCTAATCTTTCGAGCTATGTCGGTGACTTTCGTTCTTCTACGGATCTCCTCATTTCTGATTCGACCACGTAGAGAAATATCGCTCCAAAATTGCCGTTTACGAGGTTTAAAACTATAGTGAAACAAAACAGGTTATTTATTGTACAGTTTCTGCGTACTTGGATGACAAGAACCCGTGGTAGCCGTTTACCTCTTACAGGTAGTCTCAATATAAGATGTTTTTTAAATAAATTTTGTAAATGTTAAATGTATTCAAATGTATATTTGCAAAGAGCATCCCCTACAGTTTCTTGCTCATTCTTCTCAGGGGACTCTTCCTTACGACCGAGCAGTAAAGTTTAATTAATATGACGATTTCAAGTGTAATTTGCTTATCAATGAAAATAAAGAAGATTTGAATTTTGAATTTCACAGGAAGCCGTGTTGAGAAGTTTTGGGTTATTTAACCTGGTTAATTAATATACCTACTTACTTTTGTTTTAATTAATTAAAATGTCGTAGGTACTTTACCCCAGCATATGTTGTTATTTATATGTATTATATAGCATGAAAATTTGTTTTAAAAGTTATTTCTTTGATTTAAGTTGTCGCTAAATGTGTACGAGATGACTTTTTGTCACTTTCTTAATTTTTTCTAGGCAGTCTGTAGGTCTCATATGCTACATTTTTGAAAAAAAAAATTGTAGTTCACATTTGCACAATAAAATATTGTTACTCGAAACAAGTTTAAAACTATTCGGGCGCATGCGCCTTACGCAGTCGTCAATTCATTCGAAAGATCGCCCCGGGGCTAGGGCGATACACGGGGATCGATATCTCGAGTCGGGGATGCAAACGTTTCCTCCGTCAGTCGCTTGCGCAAAGCATATTTTCATTTTTGCTGGTGGTAAAAGTGACGCGATGGTGGTAAAAGTGAATTACATTTTAAATGGTAAAGGTTTAATGAAAGCCCAGAAGGCAAGGCAAGGATATTAGACCATGGCCAGTAAGATATTAAATACGTAGGCCGCGACTGCGAGTGAAAATCGATGAAGATATCTTTGAAATTTTTGAACATTAAAACAAGTACTTACATGAAATACAACACGACAGTTACGTTAATACGTAATATTACTAATTAGTATTAAATTAATAACGTATTAAATTCTAAGAGAACAACACTAGCATTCGACTGCCCGTGAAAATATGAAGTAAAAAATAGACGTACACTTTTTTCTTGGATATATTCTTGACGTCACATCTCAATGTTTTACTACTGATTGATACTAAAAGGAAATACACGACGTTTATTTTATCATCAAAGATCATAATATTAAAATTTGGATGGTAAAAAAAGTATATTACAAGACAAGATCAAATATCCTTAAGATGAATACAATGTGTTAGAGATTTTGCCTACCTCAAGATAGTGTGTTCGTCAGCAGCTGTCTTGTCTGCGTAATTTCTGGCGGCTAATACGAAGCAGGCTTCAGCTTCGTTCATTCGGGCTCTTATTAGATCTGTGTCTTTCAGACATGATCCTTGTATGTAAATCACTCTTTGTGCCCAGATTGGTACCTAAAATAATATCATATAAGTTTGACATTATGTTTAAGACAGATGTTCTGAAGTGCACAGAGTTTAACCGTGGGTTAACCCAATTTAAACTCGGCATTAACATTGTTTGCCCATCTCTGGTCGTGGCCTGTAAAAAGCCTGAATTGTTGGTTTGTTTCTAAATCACAAATATAGGGAATTTAGATCTGAATAAATAGTTTCATTTCCAATGTGTAGCTGTAGTGGACTGCTCAAAACTCGAGGCATTTAAATATAACCTTGTCTAGAGCGCATGACAGAAACACTTACTTGAAGTATCATTCTCATTGTTGTGTCCAGTTCCATGGGCGATAAAAGAACTACGTAATAATCCTGCAGTAAGGGGTGTGCGTAGAATTCATTCAGGAAATCCATAATGGTGTCAGCATGCAAAGTCGTGGAGCAGACGACGACGTGTTTCTCGGATTGTGCACGGTGAGATGAATATGATCCACCCAATTTCTGCCGTTCCATCCATGTGAATGCTAGTTGTTCAAACTGTAAAAGAATAAACCGATTATGTTGTCTATTTTCTCTCTCTCTAGTGAGATCGAGTAAACTAATCTTTTCATAAGATTGTGATTACTTTCTTCGTTTGGCGTACAATATGCAACAGACATATTCTACATGGTAAATATTACAGTTGTGTTAAATTCTGGCAACATTAAATTGTAACAAAGCCCTCAAGGTTTCTTTGAATCAATTTGTGCAAAAAGTCCCTCTGTGCCACCGAACACATTTTCTGTTTACACTCCCTCCATGATGTTTATGAAACTATCACGAAACGAACACCGACAGAATTGAGAGAATTAGTCACAAAAGCCATTCAGAAGCACCTAAAGATTTTTTTTCTTTGAAAAGTCAGTTGGGCTGATTTTGCTTAACAATAAAACTGAAACTAAATAAGATATAAAAAAATCCCGCTTATAGGTGTTGTAGACTGATTCTAGATCCAATTCCAAATCCAATTTTGTTAATAAATCAATTTGGATCAAACACTCAGAAAAAATTCCTTCGATCCGGTCGCATTCGAACCGACGTCTTCTAGCATACCGAGCCAGACGCTATACCAACTAAGCCACGGAACGAGCCAGCGGACTTCACGAATTTTTTTTATGTGCTTGTTGTCGTGTCTTTATGACTTTATGACCTTTTTCTTTTTTTTGTAATACCATGTGGCGGGACGAACAAGTCGTGCGCCTGGTGGTAAGCGACATGCCTGTCCAGTTGCAGTTGTTAACAGTTGCAGTCCCCATCAGAGCTTTAAATCGCAAAGATCTTATGGACGCTGCTACTGCGCCAGTCACTCTGTAAGACATAAGTTGACAAGTCCTACGTGCCTGTAATTTCACTAGCCTTCTAAACCGGAACGCAGTAAGGAGGGAAGAACAGTTTATGCGTTTATTAAATCTTTATCTCAATTTTGTTTGTTTAAAGGTCAAAACGCTAGAAACCGTAATGAATATTGTTTGCGATAAAGTACTTAGCGAAATAAGGTAGACTGCAAATTATAGGTTAGGCAGATTTCATTTTACAACGCTATGGTGCTGTTCGTTCTTGTACCTTTGTAAAGGGCACGACCGAAATTTGTGGAGAGTAAACAGCCAGTAACTTTGCCAATAGGTCGTGAACTAGTAAGTTCGTTAATCTTAATAGTTTTTGTTGTAAATTTGTTCTTCAAGTGTAATTACAAATTTTGGCCGTATATCACCTGGTGATATAACTTTGGCAAGAAAATGTTCTTTTCGAGAAAACAGACTTTCTTACTCTTATCGTTTTCAATTGTTACTGAAATACTTGAGTTCGTTAATTCCTTAAAGATGCAACAACTCAAAGAAGGTCACTTAACGTATGATAAATATTGTTACACATGACAGATATTGTTGAGAAAAATAAAAATAGCTGACAAGAATTATCTAAGATTCGTTTAATGACATCTTATCGGGTATCTCACTTGGGATAAGCGAGTTTTGAACGAATTTCAAGAAAGGTGAACTAAAATATTATGTCTCATTCTACCCATGAAAATGGAAAATCACGTCGAAGAATTATAGAAGGCAAAGCGACTATTCTAGATTACTCGTCTATTTAAATGGTAATGTGAACATTTTTCGCGGGAGCATGGTTTTCCTTTTCGAGGCAGCCGTCGCGTAGGTGTCAGATCACACACGTGTCGACAGTGGTGAAAATGATTGCATAAATCAAGCAAGAATTTTTTGTGGATTCTCCATTTCTCTAAACCACATTGCGATGTATGTTCATTTGGTTCTGGCACAAGGAAAATTTATTTACCTTGGATACTATTATGGCTATGAATGACTAGGTCAAAGCATTTACCGCTTTAGGGTACCCCCCTAAAAAGGTAAAGTGCTTTTATGGTAGGTTTTTTAAATCTATTTGTAAATTAATTTTGATTTGGTTTGCACATTACAATAAGTATTAAAAACTTGAAATCATATCATATGTTTTTCGTGTACAATTGCGTTGTATACAAATTAACTAAAGGTCTGTGTAAACATTTTTAAACCTGACTTCATTATGAATTCCAAATTGTTATTATAAGAGTAATGGATAGAAATTTAATTAAAGAATAATTTTACGCACCTGTGTAGGCAATACAACCAGCGCTACTCCAATCATTATAACCATATATAGCTGTGAAGGCCATATATCTGGTACAAAGTCACCATAGCCCACGGTAGAAAATGTTACAACCACAAAGTAAGTGGCCTGAAAGAGGTTAAGATGTCTGTGTCCGGCTCGTTGAAAATGCTGGATACCGCAAACACTGCAACATTAATGACGTTATATAGACAGAAATGAGCTACTCTATTGAGTCACTTATCAGTTCTTTTAATAGAAAATTGCGACCTACTACAGACTGCGATGACAGCTGAAGACTGTATTAGCTGAAGCGTGTTTTTGTTATATTAAATTAAAGAACTTGTAAAAGCACCTACTTTTGTTATCTGTAGAGGTATTCGTCAGGTAATATGATTTAGTGCGAATGTATTCCTGCCTCAAATTGACAAAGAGCCATAAAAATAGGGAATGGTGAAACCTTAAAAGGTTGTACAAATTGGATAAAGCGGTAGGATTTTGTTGAGATGTGTTCGCTGTTTACATTACGTTTTCATATTAATGCGATAAATTTCCTGAGTGAATATTGATTGCAGAAAAATATCAGAAAGTACCAAGTCGTCCATTAGATGTATTAAATAAATTATTCACCAACTGTCCACAAATGTTCAGTGAAATTGTGGAAGTAGTAGGTTATCGAGTTATCCAAGAAATATCCAACGACACAATTACAAAACATAGGTAAAATACTGATATTATTTAACAATTTCGTTGGTATAACAATCCAACTTGTTTTAATTGATAAGGTAAAATTTAGATTCTAGATAATTATAATTACCTCGTGAAGACGAGGCACAGTAATGTAACGCACAGGATCATCAGTTGTTGTGATAATGCTGATTGGGACTTTTGCATAGCTCGGTGTAAATCGTTCTGCAATAAAACGCAATCGTTATGCAACATGTTAAAACAGGGTGTAACAGAATGGTGCAGTCATATTAAACGACCGAAACGTGTCCTTGATTTAGACCGTCTGGTGATATTTCAAATAAAAATTAGTTAGGAAAATCTTGATACAAATTTACTAAAATTTTACATCTGCGTCACATCTCTATTGCGAGCCCTTACACTTACGTTAATTGCGAGTAGTTCATTCTTAACAAAGTCATTCAAAGACAGTGTTGGCGCTGTCATGTGTGTGTCCTTGGTTCTGACTAGACATGGGCGTCGTCGCCGATGAATTGACCAGCGTAAAATCCGCTTGGCGATAAATTTCTTTGTTAACCGACTTCAAAAAAGGAGGAGGTTCTCTCAATTCGATTGTATTTTTTTTTGTGAACCGATTTTGGTGATTCTTTTTTTGTAGGAAAGAGACTCAGTATTGGTCCCATTTTATTTGAAAAAAATATTCCACCTTTAAGGGTGGCAAACTAGGGGATGAATCCAGTTTCGCGCACTTTCCGGTAGCTAATTTCAACAAAACTTAGCAAATAGACGTATTCCACAAACTTTTGAAGTCGGTTTTTTTTAGTAAATACTCTGTACTGAGATATATTAATTATTTATTTACTATATGTCAAAATTAAAATAAATTCAACGAAATAAAGTTCTCGTCTTCTTTCAAAGTACCAAGTGACGTATATCCTATTCATACTAGATTGGAATATAGACACAGAATGACCATTATTCTGCTAGGTGGCGTATGAATGCTGGTGCTGTTGAGCCGTATGTGGCAGCCGCCAAACTCCGATGTTAACTTTCAAGTTAGTGTAAAAATCATTGAAAATTAATGCAAAAGTATAAAAGTATATTATAATGTTTTAGTATTTTTAGCACCTCAAAAATATACGCCACGCAGATTTCCTTCCGCTACCGCCGGTCGAAAACCATCGTCGATTTTATGATCGGCGCACATCTCTAGTCATGACCTACCCTCGACAAATAAAATGCTGCTTATGTATGCAGTTGCATTTAGTAATTACGCAGTGAAATACAATTTATTGTCACTTAGGTTAAGTGTACATATAGATGTATACATCTAGTTTAGAGTAGTAAGTACATAGTAGAACAGGTATGTAAATATTCCACTACGCACATGTTATTCGTGGTCCAATGTAGTGTTTATGGACACGTATTTTTTTCACGACAATTGTGCAATAGTAGTAATAAGTAGGTACTCGCCGTTCCATCGCTATAATTCACTTCTCATGGTGTATCTGATAGTATTCGGGCATTTACGACGACTTTGTAGTACTAGGTACCTATCTACTCACTACACGCATATATCACACACACTGTCGCCCCGTAAGCATTTATGCTTCTGTCCCTGCCGGCACAAGGTATGCTCTCCTTTACCACCAGTTGCGGAGAAACCTAACAAAAGGCCATTTCGATGCACCGTCTCATTTCTTTTCTGTTCAATGTTTTTGACGTTTAGATCAGTTGATCCATGAAGGCCTGCCATTAAGTTTGGAATAATCCGTTATGTTTTTGTCCTAGCAATTTCCTCCTGAATCATTCCAGCGGACACCGATTTTATTGGACGCCATCAACTAACAGCTCCCAATAAATTTTCCGAGTGTGGTGCAAATTACCATCGGATCACGGCTGCGCCAACACGTAGTATCATTTCATAGTTCTGTGTTACTTAAAAATAGAAAATTATCACAAAACCGATCGATAAGACACTTATGGAAACGCTGCAGTAGCGCCGCTGTGTCTCTGCAGATGCACAACTACTAATTTCCAAACAATATTTAGATGCACAGTTGCAGCGCCACTGTCGTAACACGCGCGCGCCACTTTTGCTGTCACAATTAGTCAAAAGCCAGGGCTGTTACGAATATCAGCATCCGCTTCCGTGGATAATCTGCATAAATTAAAATATCCGAATCCGCCGCAGCATCCGTATTCCTCGATATGTTCGAGTCGTTACAAAGGCACGCTAGAATAATTTACAAAACCTTCCAGAAATTAAGTGTAAGCCGAAAAAGCAGTTTAGCTGTTGTTTTTATAATATAGCTTTGTTGTAATTCCAAAACGCTTGTTTTCAGACAGATTGATTTTATTATTATGATATTATTTTTTTATAATATCATAAACAAGTCGTGCGCCTAGTGGCAAGCGACACGCCTATGCAGTGCGAGTGCCACTCAGACATTTAAATTGCAAAGATCTTAGGGGTACTGTCACTGTGCCCGTCACTCTGAGACATAAGTTGATAAGTCTCATGTGCCTGTAGTTGTTGTCGGCTTGTTCGTGCCGTCACTCGATGTGAAAAAAAATTTCGCCAGCACCTTTACCCTTCCAAACCGGAACGCAATAACTCACATTACAGCTTGGCTGCAGCTGCAGTGCTTCTACAAAAAGTGTGTAACTCCAAGGCGCCCTTAGGCCTCACAAACAATGCAAACGACGCCCAAACGATGACTCGTGAAAAAAATTAAATATGATAATGACCTGGCGGCAAATCATATCCTATTTCACTTTCGACTTCTTCGAAATTCCGTTTTCATGGTATACAATTAAATTATTGAGCTTATTTTTCTGCTATTAAATAAGCAGGATCATTAGGATTTGGTCAATTGAAACGGAGACTACAGGGTTGTTAGCGATGTCTACATACAAAATAAAGTAATCGATAAGAGTAAAGTCAGCCGTGACCACGGGACATGGAAAGGGCCTGTAAACGTTGATTTGTTTAAAAATACAAAATACGCGATTCAGATCCGAGAAATATTTTCATTTCCTGAGAATAAATAAATTCCACTTTTTAAATAGCTAATAAACTCTGAAACGCTGTGTAATTAAATCTATTATATCAGTCAATCGCGTGATGTTGGCAAAAATGCCATTCGTATAGTGTACACAGCTAGCATTCATGTTTTTAAGTTTGATGCACAAAAGGTTATGTTAGATTGTGAAAAAAAATTACAGGAAAATTGTAACAAATATAAGAAATTACAATTAATCAAATATTTACAATAAGTATTATAAAAAAACCATAAACAGATATACTATACAACAGACGTGTTGAACTTTGCACCTATTAGTGTATACCTACATTTACTCCGTTTTTTGTTTGTGAAAACAATTTTAGTTTTCTATTACTATATTAAAACACGATGTCACGATTTCGCCAATGTTTCGAGAAAGGTCAAAACTCTTCGGCGTTACACGCTAAATTAGCGATAAATTGAATTGAAATATCTTTATTGGTAACAGATGCATGTTCTCTGACTAAAATTAATAATGTGTGTGGTTTTGGTGACATCACTGTTCGAAATTTTACGACCTGGAATTACAGTAGATTTAAGTATGTATTTTATATCATCAAGTGAGTGTGACCTTAATATGACTATGCCTTTCTTGTTACACTCTGTATAATATTATATATATCGCATTTGTAAAAAATATTGAAGTATAAAATGAGTATGAAGGAAGGATTTGGAAATATAAAACTTACAAACATATTTTCGAGTGATCGTTTCGCGAGCCAACAATTCAGGAACACTGGTATAAACAGATTGCGCATAGGTGGGAATAAAAGCTGAAAAAGTACAAATCGATTAATTAGAGAATGTAAAAGTAAAATATAAATAAAAAGACATTTATTTCTCCACAAAACACAAGAAATACAATACTTAAAAAGTAATAGAAAAACAAAAAGGAGTTTTTGTCCACACCGCTCAATTGTTGTATATGACAATTATGATAATATTTCGTCGCCTACTGTCTCAAATTCGTATCTTAAAGTTACTAAAATGCAAAAAATGGACGGTACAAATAAAAAAAAAATTCACATCACATTTCCTTCGTATTCACTCACTGGCCTTTACCTATTCTTAAAGTAATACATCCATATAACGTCCATGATAAGAAATTTAAAATAAATAGAATGTTTTGCCATCTCTTGAATAATCAGTCCTTATAAGATACGAGTTTGAGAAAGTAAGGCATCGATTTCTTATTCTGCTAAAATCTAGTTGCAACGGCAGTCCAATCCAATAGAATGCCAGTGGAATGGCAGTGATTTCATTCATTCATACATTCATTCAACCACTCACGATCGACGTCGCCTTACTAAAACTACATACGGAAATTACTATTCATGTTTTATTTATTTTATCTCGTTTAATCAGCAACTTAGTCTTCAAATTAAATGTACCTTTCATAAAATAAAACTCGATAATCGATATAAACACTTAAATTGTACGTAAAAACGATTCGAAAGAAACGTCAAATAATAATTAGTAACTACGCCATCGACGTGGCACAGACTCGCCTTTGAAGAGCAGAATGCAGCTAGCCTCTGACAAGCAGACTTTTAGCAGAATTCCAAACGTATAAAATCTTGCTATTGATACAGTTTCGACACACAACAGAGATGATTTCAAATTAGCTGACTAGGGACCCAGTTGTAATCCATTTGTATGTCTATGTTTCTATCAATGTTATATTTGTATTTATAGAATACTTACAGTTAATGCAAACGGTATTGTGTTCACCATTTCTAGTATGAAGTGGAATGATAACACCTGCTGCCATATGTTTCCCTGTAGAAAGAATGAGAAATTATGTCAATTACGAAATAGCCATCAGAGATATCAAAGTTTTGAAAAGAGGAAAGGAATTATGAACTAACAATTAACACTATGAAAATGATTAACAACTTTGTGACTATTATCTGTATATACAAAGATCGAACAAACACAGACCAGACTAGTTTCGAACCAGCGACTGTTGACTCAACGTAGCTGGTTACCGCTCTGCCAACTGAGCTACGGATTAAGCCAGTAAATCTTTCGAATTTCTCTACGTGCTTGTTGCGGATCTTTGTATTGGGTTTAACACGTTCATTGCCGTGGTGGGTCAAAATTACCGGCACGTCACGTCAGACGTACCTAACTTTGCGATGCTCGTTCACGCTACGTATTTAGCCATATAACATATCCGGTGCGGCCCTAACGAATTTCAGTTGCTACTTGGTTTTAGAATTTTTGGTGGCATAGTTACTTTTCTAGACTCTAAGTTTAAAAAAAAATGTTTGGAATAAAAAAAAATGACTTTAATTCCAAATTCAATTTACAAGTTAAGCAAAAAAAAATTGTTAATGTGAAATGTCGATCTAAAATCAAAAATTATGTGAGTTTCAGGTAAACATTGACCGAAAGTTACGTGTTTTACTTTTTACGTGTGCTCTGCCGGGCATTGTGAGTAATAATTATTCCATTTAGGTCACGCTGCGCCGGGTAGAATTGTACGGCACTAAAAAGTCCTAAAATAGAGCAAATAATAAAATCTCGCGAACTGACTTATATTCATATACAAATAAGAGCAAAAACAGTTATATAAGCCAATGTTATCTTTTGAACATTTTTGAAAATACTAGCCGACGACGAACGTGTTAAACGGTCTTTTTTACTGTAGCACCAGTTGTGACAACATTCAGTTAGTGGAATATTTTTACAAAAGGTACATAAATATCATGGTAGTAAAAGCATAATGTTCAATAAAAATAAAAATATAGCGTACAAGTTTGTGGTTCACCCAAAACTTGAGTATTGTGCTTACCTTGTATCCCAGGTAAGCAAGTAATATAGCTTCGGTAAAAGAAATCATTGCAAGTATGACTTGCACTATCCACAAATAAAGTGGCCTGTTGACCCATATTATTCCGTCCCAGTTGATAATCGGATGCTCCTGGAATTCCTCTTCTGTTAAGTTGGCCGAATATTCAAATTCAGTCTTATTGCCAGGCATGCATCCATAACTGAAACAAACAATTGCCTCTGTGTCCTTAACCCAGAATAACCTTGACAAAATAGCCTTTTAAAACAATAGCAATTTTATGGCGACATACAATTTTTACTCTATTTTATTGACCATACAGTAGTGAATTGGGTAACCGATGTGTACATTCGAAATTGCTTTGACTGTCCAGGTACTTGTTATTATTACGTGTAAACATCGTTCCTGTTTTTAATATACTGTTAAAAAAATGAAAGAGTCAAAAACTCAAATAAACGATGTTCTTAGTAATCGAGTTCGCTTACTTCTGAGATTCTAATGGCTAAATGTTCTTTAATATTTTAGAATATTGACTGATATCGGTATTAATAATTCCATCTTAAGTGTTTGAGCATTTATTAAGAGCTAAGGCAATCACTTAGTGTTAATTAATTAATCTCAGCCTATATAAGTTAACTTATACTATATAAGTTAACTACCTCCGTGGCCGAATAGTTACCATGTTTATCTATATATATATGGCCGATTATCGGGCCGGAAGAAATATTTGTATGGTTTACACTTATTTCTCTCCTGAGTTTGGCTTTAATTTTGGTTGTCTATGTGTGTGTCCATCGCACCCGCGACACAGAGTTTCCCTAGTGCGGAGTTATGTTGAGTGTGTACGTTATTATTATATTATATACTCCCGGACACGTAATTCTAGCCACCTCGCATTTTTGTCGTAAAGGGCTAGAATACAAAAATAGTGTATTCATCGAAGAGAACACAGAAAGTTTTCCCCAGTTTGCAAAATCCAAATTCCCAACAACCACTTATGGAAGAGACGTTTAGTATACTAGTTTCAAAATTGTTTGTTAATTTAAGCTTAGGGCACTTAGCACTGAAAATGCGAGGTGGTTCGAATTGTGTGTCCGGAAGTATATTATAATTTGTGGTTGTCTACCTATGTGTCTCCATGGTACCCGCGATACGTTGCCCTAGCGGGGGGCTATGAGTGTATGCGTGATTGTTATTATATTATTCAAGCTCATTCAAGCCATATTGTCAATCCTTCTACACGGGTGGTCTGTGGGTTAACTATACGCAGAAAGCACTCCGCGCCCTGCACGCTCAATATAATAACGGTTTCAGGATGCTGTTGGGACTACCGCGACACCGTAGCGTTATTAATAATACTTAATAACAAATGATTTATTTATTATTAAGTATTATACACGAGACATATACACATTTCATCTAGTCATTAAAATACGAGCTACTTTCGACTGGCATACTTTTTTCTGGCATGTATTTGTATGTTGTACTTTAATTACCTAGCTTATTGTGCCCAAAATTGGGCAACAGCAGATTGGCAGTCCTTTTCACAACATTAGCTATGCGTGTCTTCGACAGCAGAGTAGTGTTCCGGATTCTATCTATCCTCTTTACACCTAATTTGCTACGCTCCGCTAAACTTGGGCAAACTTTGATTTTGATATTCAGTTCGGGGCCATGTCTACGCTCGCACCTATCTATTTTGTATTTGTGAATGTTTTTTAAATTTAATCATGCTTTCAAAAGTGAAAAAAAAAATCCTCTATTGTATTGTGTCTATGCTACCAAGTATGCTTATTTTTGATTGAAAGACTAGGCTTCAAAATCGTGCTACAATTAAATCATAATCTTTATAACTCGCTAAATTGTTTTTAAAAAATCCAACCGGTAGTGAAAGAATCGAGATTTTTCTTTCCATCTTGTATATTTGTTACATAACTAAAAAAATGTCAATTGTAGGTACTCGTGGACTGTATGGTCCTTACCTTTGTGCCTTCAATATTTTTCAGGTTATAGCAGGCCCTTATTACTCCTAATTAGAATGTCGAAAATTAAATTTTGAGTAGATCTCACGCACCGAGATTTGCAATCCGTTATGTGTCATAATTATTACAGATCAACTAGTATTGGATTTTGAGAATGCTTGGCAGCGCTAAATTTAAAAAACCAGTACGATGTCAACGTCTTTGTTTGCGTCACGTTCATAACACAATGTGTATTTTAAGGAAGCATAAAGGGTTTTTTCCTTTTTCTGTTATAATGAACAAAGCAGAATGATGACGAGTAAGGGGAAATTATTCTCAAAGTAAGTTACAGAGAGAAAAACGTGTACTTAGAAAATAATAGACTAAAGGCATAGAGCAATAAAAATAATCCGTCCGCGTCCGTATATTATTATTGTCAAGTGATCATCAGACCTAAATGTTAAGAACCCCGAGTGTATTTTTTTCCAATTACTTACAGTTTATATATTACGTGTTTATGTATTAACATGTTTATTGTCAATGATTATATATGGATATGATTCGATATGGAAGGTGAACTATTAGAAAAAATCAATATTTTCCGCCAATATTTTCTGAAATAACTTATACTCATAAGTTATTTCAGAAAATATTGGCTGTTGAATTTCTTATTATTACGTTTTGCTCACCTTTTTGTCCTTAAACATCAAATTATTGCCTGTCCCGTCATGTTACCTTTCAGAAACTTTTATGTATGATACATTTAACTATCTACTAGCAAACGAGTATCAAATATATTGCTACAAATTGATTTTATTTTACAGAAGAGGCTGTTTCAACATACCAACAATGATCTTTTTTGAACAATGGATGAAATCTGGGTGAAGTAACTCAACATTCTGTGAGTAGTAAAATTCATCCATTTCTGAAATTTTGGCACAGATACCCGAAATATGGAAAAGTTGTTCAAGAATCAGTTAATTGTTTATGCACAAATATTCAGAGTGGTTACAGACCGGTGATATGCGACATAAATGGTTCAAACTGACGGTGTACCAAACACTGCTCTCGACATTCGATGAAAATCTATATCCTGTAGTAAGTCCAAAGGATAGACGACTTGACATAGTCAAGAAGTAACGCGGAGTTAGTATGTGTTGCGGAGGTATCTACTCGATTATCTAGCAACAGAAATGTAGCACGACGACTAAAGATGTCGTCAATAGACCCGCGACATGTACAAGTTGAAAAAAATCCCCAATTTCGAGAGAAACCAATACTTCTGGGTATTTGACAAAAGACGATGCTTTGACATACTACATATATATATAGGTGGCAAATCAAGTAGTTATTATTCATAAGCGGACACAGAAGTTGATCAAAAGAGCAGGACATTCTGCGTGCTATCTTTCTTAAGGACAATTGTTAAGAATGAAAAGTGCGCTGCAATCAAGTCTTAGCAGTTTTAGATAAAAGTGCTGAACGATTGGTTACAGCGGTACAAGAAGTCATCAACAGTCAGTTTCCTTGTACTTCATTAATTCTCTTAGGCAAGTGGGGTTGCGGTGGTAGTTCAGGTCATGGTAGTTCTGAGTAAAAATTTTCCAACTGTTATGACAATGATGAATTTTTGTTTATATTTACATTCATACTTTTTTAATTACGGGATGCCGCAAGCAATGTTGTTTGGCAGGGTCCTCGAAAATCATCGGCATCGATACTTCTTCTGAAGGTAAACTTCAGTGTATGCGATTGATGCTGGAAAATTTGAAATGTTATCGCTTTAAGCCAGATATGAATTTCTGTTCGTGATATTACATTCCCTACCTACCGTGCATAAAATTCTTCTGTACAGTGCCAGTGTTAGATCGGAATTTATGTTTATCGGGAAATTTTCTGAGGAAGCACAGGATTCTCTGAAATAGGTTTTCAGCAGATATCATAAACACTATACTGGGGAAGATTATAGAATTCGTATATCAATGAATAGAGATTAACTTAATCTGTTGTGATATCGTCTGACGTTAATTAATAGTTTAACACAAACTCCTCAAGAAAGTAATGTGCAGTGTTGCACTTTCTTTAATATTTAATGACTAAAATAAGAATTTGTTAATAATAAATAAAATAAATAATAATCTGTTGTTAATTTCTACATTCGTCTAGGAAAAATATATTTAATTGTTTGTAAAAATATTTTTACAGCAGTTGCTTTAAAATGTATATTTTTTTACAACTACCTACATTTCAAATGTAAATTATGCTAAATAGATTATTTGATTATGTATACAAGCGTATTGATGGCATATGTCTAAAAAATAAAAACAATAAATATTTTATCCAGCTAGTTTGTTCTAACGAACAACAGTGGGGTCGGTCCGTAACACAGAATCTAATGTCGTTCTCGAGTAGGTAGGTTACGTATGATATAGCGCGTCGATTTCCTTGAATGTTCTGACTCGTTTATCTTTCTGCGGTAACTCTTGGAACTTGTATTCGCTATACTAAGTTTGATTTTATAAGTTACTGACATTTCTAGTGATTTCCAATTTTGTTCGCCAAACTGAATTCTTAGTGCTAATCATTGACTTACAAATAAATGGACGACGGGTCTAATACAAAAACCACGAAAAAAATGTCCCAAGTCAACCTATTCCAAATTTAAATTGTTATGTCATCGCAGTATCGCGCTGTCCGTAGAACAAATGAAGACTAAAGCGGAGTGTCGCGCTCTGTATACGATTTTAGCGCCTTACAAGTGCGGACACTTTTTAGCGCGGACCCGACGTCCATATAATTGTAAGTCAATGGTGCTAATAGTCTGTTTTGTTCCGTTTCTTCGTATCTGTCACGTTCTATTATTACTTTTAGATTTGTAGTTGTGACATTAACGAGTCACCGTGCTATATATGTTTACTGTAATTATATATCGTGCTTACAGTTACAGAGAGACCATTAGCATTATTGAAAGCAGAGCTGTGTAAATCAGACTCGGAAAATTTATTAATATAAGGGTGCTGGTGAAATTACAGGCACACGGGACTTGTCAATTTATGTATCAGGGTGACGGGCGCAGTGGCAGTGCGATTTAAAGCTCTGAGTGGCACTGCAACTGTTATGGACAGGCGTGTAGCTTACCATCAGGCGCACGACTTGTTCGAACCATCACTTGATATTATATAAAAAAAGTGTTACGTGCAATTAGATTCGCAGTCCTTACTCAGGTCAGGCGTATGTACCT